CTTATTGAGATTTCCTGGAGACACCTAACTTTTAAAATATTCAAATGAAAGTGGAAAAGTACCAAGAAGAATTGCATCAGCCACCCTCACAGCAAGTTAAATGTTCTAAGCAAACATCAGACTCGGCTGACGGAAATAAATGCCATAAACATGCACTCTGGGTTTTAGGCTTCAGTGCTATCGCAGATAATTAAAAGAGACTACAAACCAGGACCCCAAGGTTCCTCAATCTAGTGTGCAAAAATGAATCTGCCCTAATGACACTAGATATAATTAATGGTGAACAAAATAAATAATATACTATGTCTTCCTCTCCCCTGGATTCTAGTCCCTCAATAATCCTAGTCTCTCAATAATTCCTCCCCTAAATTAAAAAGAATTTAAAAAATTCCCCTGACATGGCAATCAAGTCTTATGCTTTAGTCAATAATTAGCTGGACTGAAATCCTTCCATGCCCATTTTTCTGCAAGTCTGGCAGCAAATTGATAACCCCAGGCAATTTTTAATTAGCACCCTTTAAAAATGGTTTGCTAAATTAGCCGACTATGAAATCACCTCACCCAAATGATTAAGTTCAAATTGCATTTCAAATCCATCACCTGTTTTTACTGTATGAACATAGCATCACTTCAGGACGGCTAATTACAATGTTTATCTGCCTGTGTTTTAATGCACACATAGCACAGCATGCAGCAAATGCCAGCTGGCTCATCCTTCCACCGCTGCTTCAAGTGGCTGCCAGCCGTTCGGTGTCGACATTTCTATTACCAGCAATAGTTCTGGCTCCATCCTTAGCCCAGTGGAGACAGTATTTAAAGATAACCTTCCTTATGTCCCGGTAGATCACCTCTGTTACTGGCCTTGAGGAAAGCCAGGGCCTGCTTTTGTGAGGACTTGGTGGGGGCCGTGCTTACCTGGCATGACAGCTGGGCTAATTTATGGGAGGCCACTCCTTCCTCACACCCTTCACACCCAAACAGTATTTGTGAAACATCTATTATTTAGCAAGTACCTTCATATGATTTTATTTAATTCTCAAAGTAAGACTGGGGATCAGGCAGTTTTAACTCCGACTCGTAGATGAGAACATGGAAATCAGAAGGCTCAAATAACTCACCCAAAGTCAGTGAAAGAGCTGGAATAGGATCTCTGGTCACCTGACAGCAAGACAACTGCCACCTCCACCCTAGTACCAGCATCATCTCCTGCCTCCTTTCCCCCAACCCTCTGCTTACACATCTCCCTTTCTCAAGTTTCACCTCCCTCTGTGTCTTTCCTCTGCAGACAGAGCTCCTTAAGATGCAAACCTGCTTGCACGGCTCACCACTGCACTCAGGCTGAGGTCCCAGGTCATCCTGTAAACCCCTGTGTTGTCTGTCCTCTGCCTTCCTCTCCTGTCTGCTCACCACACTACAGCCATGTTGAAATCTTCCAGCTCTCAGAACTCTCTTTGCTCTCTTGAGGCCTTTGCAAAAGGCAATCCCTCTGCCTGAGACCCAGTCCTGACACCTGCACTTCCGCCAGGGTTGTCATCAGGGCTTCCAGGAAGCCACTGGGGAAGCACTTGACCGAGGTCTTCCTTGGCCTCTCCCAGGGGAGGGGGGCTCCAGCACGGTCTTCACTGAACCTGCCACAGTGGGAGCTGCAGCAGCGTTAGTGCCCACACCCGACCAGACTAGACCCATAGAACCCAGCCTTCTCCCTGGGGAAAACCAAGGTGGACAGTGGTGTTAGGTGAGGGGAGAGCATGCTGGGACTCTACATAGAGCAAGGAGCCGGTGGTCCAGGAGAAGGGGGCCAAGGAACTCTGGGAAAGGGTATAAATCTGATTCAACATATTATTAATCATTCTACAATATCAAGATGCCTTTCTTATACCCTAGATGGTTCCACAAGCCAAAGGAAGTAGATCATTTTCCTTGTTTCATGTGGTTCTTTCTGACATCGGTAAGGAAGAAGTCAACTTATGTAAAATCTATCAGGCACTTTGCATTGTTAAAATTTACCTTGTCTGCTTTTCCATACTACTTTTTTTTTTTTTTTTACATGCATCCCGCTTATAGGGCTGTCTTCTGATAAGGGGAGATGAGGATTCCTTCCTGTAGGAATTTTCCATGAGATCCAAGAATTTGTGGTTTCTAGGAGATTTCATATCTATCCTGGAATTGGTAGGGTTCTGTCCTAGCTCCAGCTGGCAGTACGAATCCTAATAATTCCAGCCTGAAAATTGTTTTCAAGACCTAGGTCTAAACTTACACAATGTCGGAGCTGGAAAGAGTCCTGGGAGACACTGAATCTGATGCTCAATTCTTATTTGGTTAAGGAGCAATTGTATTTGCAGATAGCAGGCCTTTACGTACAAGCCCTAACACAAACACAGTTATAAGTCTTTAATTCGCCTAAGGCAGCTGAACTATTTCAAAATATTTTCCGGTATCCAAATATACAAGTGATGAATGACTTGAGTTTTACTTGTTCAATATTGAAATTAACATGCTACAGAATTTCCTCCACCAGGTGGCAGCCAAACCTTAGTAAAATACGGTGTATAGATTCCACTTTTATCTTGGCCAAGTAGATAGAATAAAAGTTACACCCACCTAGCTCTCTGGGAGGCCGAGGCGGGCGGATTGTTTGAGCTCAGGAGTTCGAAACCAGCCTGAGCAAGAACAAGACCCCGTCTCTACTAAAAATTATATAGAAAAAAAAATTAGCCAGGCATGGTGGCACATGCCTGTAGTCCCAGCTACTCGGGAGGCTGAGACAGGAGGATCGCTTGAGCCCAGGAGTTTGAGGTTGCTGTGAGCTAGGATGACACCACGGCACTCACTCTAGCCCGGGCAACAGAGTGAGACTCTGTCTAAAAAAAAAAAAAAAAGTTACACCCATATTTCAGCTCAGTTCAGGAGGCCCACCATCTGCAAACCCTATGAAGAGTATCCTAATGATGAAGTACTGAGAAAATGGGGACTTGGGACATGTGGCATCATCAGGATGCCTGGGGCTAAACAGCTGCTGGCAGCCCAGACTGAATTGAATTGGGTTCACTGGTAATCCTCATTTAGCCACCGAGGCTGGAAAAATCAGATAGTGGAACACCGATGCCAACCTAAATACAAGGCTTCCAGTTAAATCCCAGGGACCTCGATTCAATAAATCATGCAGTGCATGTTGGCTTTTGTCAACCACTATGCCAGACACCCCTATACAAAGACACGGTCCTTGCTATAAAACGTGTTCATATCTACTGGGGAAAAAATAGACTCATAGATAGTAACAGGAGTAAAATAAAAAAGAAGATTATTCTTATGAACCTCTCTTGTAATCCTTCCTCAAAGTCCTTGAGCAAACTACAGAACTACTAAGAGTAAGAGTTGAATGTACTTAATCTTTACAAAAATCACGACGTATGATGGCTAGGCAAACCATCCCACAGGTTCAATATAAGCAAAGAAAGGAAGATGATTGTCTATGGAAACATAATATTACCAGAGATCCTACCGTTGCTCTCAGTTGGAAAGAAATGTGTAAATTTGATAGGGGAATTAGGAAATAAGGAAAGAAAACGTGTTCTTTTCCTCCCCACTTACGACTTCTCCTTTTAACCAAAGCTCGCCTGCCCAGTCCCCATCTCCCAGAGTCTTCTCTGAGGACCACCTGAAGTCTGCAATAGAAGACAGCAGGGGAAAGTTCACCAATCCGCCACGGTGCGGTACTGTGTGGCCGTACGTGATTTGGGGGCTTGGGGCACACTCACAATTCCTGTCATTAATGGAGAGAGGAAATAGATGTCTCCTTCAGACAGCTGATCTAAACAGATGGGAAACAGTCACATGGGGAGTGAATGGTTTTAAAGGTTTTCTCAGCACACACAGTCTAATATGAGGAAAAGTTTCAAATAGGAAATGGTAAATAATTGCAAGCACACCATCGCGCCTCATGCTCACACTGATGTTGGAATCTACCATAACATTCTCTTCCAGCCTATCTAAATATAATGGCAAGTCCTTACCAATACAGTGCTTTGAGCAGACACTTCTAGTCAATTGTAGTTAGCACAAAAGTTGAAAACTGTTTCCCAAAAATCAACTATAAAGTTCATCTATTCACAAGACTCCTTTGATTCCAGAACTGTCCAATGTGGGAGCCACCAGCCATAAGTGTCTGCCAAGCACTTGAAATGTGGCTAGTGGGACTAAGGAACTAAATTGTATTGAATTTTAATTAAAGTTTAAATGTAAATAGCCACATACAGTTGGTGGCTCCTGTGCAGGACAGTGCAGTTCTAGAACCTTACCATGATCACAAAAAGTTCTATTGGACAGCACCAGTCTATTCCATAGCCAGATCAGAAAAATGTAAGTATCCACAGAACTCACAACCAGAACTTTGCTTTGTTATCTTAATATGCCATTTCAGGCAATCTTGCAACTTCTTTACAGGTTAGTGCCTGGATTTGTAATAACACCTGAATCAAATCAAATGTGACTCTGAGCTCTCATGCAACAGCCCATTGAGAAACTCAAATTCAGTAGTGTTTAGGGAATGAGAATCTTCAGCGTAGTTTGCTGCTGAGATGCTTATTGTCTAAGCCTATGTCATCCATTCACAGATGGTTGGTGTATTCCACTATCCTTGAATTCCAAAGCCTGGGCCTAGAGATCCTCTTAACTCTGCTCTAGGGGCAGGAAAGACCTCCCCAACTATCACCCCAGGTCTTGGATTCAAATTTCTACTTGCTAAGTAAAGCCAGTGTTGATGTGGAGGGTGAAAGGGTTGAGTGGTCCACAAAGAAAATAATAGCTTCCATTCTTTCAGATTTGTTTATAGCAGTGATACTAAGATGCAGATTAATAAGATTAATGCAGATTAATACCTTAATAAGTTATTCTTCCAGATTGATCAGAAATTGCTATTTTCTAAATAGCAATGGTACATAGTAATACAGCCATCCAACAAGTAGCATTACGTTGTCAATATAACTGCCCTGATTACGAAAATGATGCAAATCAGCGCAAATGAAGTATCATCTTCCAAACTCAGGTATGATGTTTTATCACTGACAATGCCAGCTTGCAAGGAAAAGAATTTTAAAGTGGCTTCTCCAGGTAGGATGCCCCACTTTTTATGCAAGCTTATTTTCTTCCCCTCACCCAGCAGGGTTTGATCATCAGCTCTACCTCTGTGTTAGCACTAAAGGCTACACACTGCTTGAGACCAGCTTTTTCCTACAAACACTAAAGCTGTCACTTCCAAGCAGAACTGTGACTGGGCTGTGCCCCACTTCATTCAGTTCCTCACAGTATGTGTACAAATGTGACTTACTACATTTCCTCACCTAACTGTAAAGTCCTTTAAGGGCCGAGATTGGATTATTCATCTTTGTTTGCCTTTCTCTATCCCCAGGGCCTGGCCTCCACTTATTTCTTAAATTTCTTCTCTTGTTGATCCGGCTAACTCCACATCATTTCTTTTCTCTTTCTTTTCTGGGGAGGGGGAAGGAGGACTTTGCTGATACTCCCAGACCCATTTGCTTAAATTTGCAAGAATTGTTTTTTGTTGATTGCACCCTGAACCCTGCCTGATGTAGGAAAAGACAACAATACGCCTTTATGCTTAACAGAGTGCCTAAGATACAGTCAGCACCAGTTCATGAGGAGGAGTGAGTACTGAATTTTATATGCAATAGGAACTCAAACACCTGAATGTTAGAATACGAGACATCTAGTATCAGCCTTCTTTATTTTTTTTCCTTGTTGCACTAAAGGATGCAATGCAAATACCCCCCCTCATGTTCTGAGCCTTCATCCTCCATGTTCTCCAAGAAAGGGAATCTAAAATGTTGGTCGCTAATGATTCCGTCTAAGAACAAGGTTTGTGGGGAAAATGTAAGAGCAAACTGGAGAAGCAGGAAGGAGCTCACAGGAGACAGAAAGAGCTGTTCGCAGGCGGAGGGGGCGGGCAGTGTCGGTGCAGGGAGGGAAGGAATAAGTCCTCAGAGAGGACTGTGTGCCACTTCCACAGAGAGAGAATCGCTGAACTGGCCTGCCTGCAAAAGATTTCATTTTCCCAAGCAGAGAGATCTCAGACCTAAAGGGAATGTATAGACAAAGACAGCAGATGTCTCAGTGATGATCTAGAAGGACAGAAGACAGAAAACCAGGTGGTCTCTTTTATGCAAGGCCCAGAACCTTAGAGAAACTCTTAGAATGACATGTGGAATTTCTTCCCAGCACAGAGAAGATATAGTGTAAGAAGTCAAAATTTGACTAATTTAGAGACTATGGAGAAAAGTGGTACTTCTCACATATCTGAGTATGTGAACCTAGATTCATATATGCCACATCATTAAATAAATCAGAAGCCCTCAAGGTAAGTTTCCACGTTATTCAGCTTTTGCACTGAGCTGTCGGTTGTACCATCTCCTGACGTGACCAGGAAGAGCAGAGCTTTAACGCACGGAGACAAGGGAACAGTGACACTGCATGTTCCTGCAGGCTGCATAGGACAACGCCATTCCCTGCTCAAGGTCAAGAATAGAAATCACGTGTGCTTCCTTTTGTGTTTAACACTCTTGTAAGTCTAAGGACAAATTTATGATGTAGAATCTTCCCAGAATAAATGGTACTTTCTCACCTCTGTGCCTCTGAAGATTTACTACAACCGTCTTCTAACTCAGAGTCCAAAGAATCAAGGAAATTGAGGCCTACCTCTTCACCTTTTAAATTAAAATCTACAAAGAAAGTTTCAAGGTGAGAAAAGACATAAAACCATATCCAATATATAAAATACAAGACAAAGAAAGTGTTATAATAGTCTCAATAAAATCCTGTCAGTGTGGAAGAAGGCAGCCTCCTTATTCAAGCACACCCTTCTAACCCTTTACTAAAAAGAGAGAAAGTAAAGCTGTGCTTTGGGGCCGGGCTAGTGAATGATGGAGGAACCCTTGAAATAATTTCATATGGATAGCTCCATGGTGCAAAACAACACTTTGAACCATCAAGACTGAGAAGAAAGGTGCCCAAAGGAGATCACAGGGTGTGATGATAAGGTGCACAAACAGTACAGCACCCACCACAGGTTATGCTCGATATGCAGTTTGCAGAACATCTCTTGAGCAGGGGTCAGAAGGTCACACTAATAAATAATTTTTGACTTATGGCATGACCTGTGCCAATCTGCCTTAGTGAATACCTGCTGGGTTGCAGAAACAGAAGCCCAAAGAGTTACTGTTTACTAGGATCAGGATGCAGGCCAGTTTTGTATCAGTTACCTGCTATTTATAGCCAACATCCATTCTAACTGGGTGGTACCTGTGTCTTTCCAGTTATTTCATACTATACCAACCAGAGCAGTCACCCAAAACCCAGGTTCTGGAAATACAGCCAAATCTCAAGGGAAGCAGAAAGTAGAAAGCAGTGACCCTCTGCCTCCCTGATGCTATCTCTACAGAACAGGCAGAGATGCCTATGAGAAGTTCTACACTGGCAAGGGAGGGACAGACAGATTACAAAGCCAATTTTGGAGAATGGCTTGAACATAGACTTTGCAATGGAGAAGGCATATTGTTTTAGGGAAAAGAAAGGGAAGACGAGAGATACCGGCAAAATTTTTTAATAGTTGAGAACTCTGTTTCTCAAAGAGAACAGCCATTATTAGTGGGAAAATTTCCTGGGCCACCTGCTAAAAATGTCAGCTTCCTGGGCCCCATTCCATAAGCTCAAAAATCAGAATTGTGGAGGAAGAGGAGAAGGCATCTAGGGACTCTTCATTTTTACCTAGGTTCTCAGGGTATTCTTGAAGAAAGAAAGAAGGGAAAGAAGGATGATGTGCCCAGTCTTTATCCTAGGTGAGTTTAGAGTGTCATGGAGCTCCCAGGGGGAAGCCCTTGAGTACATCTGGAAAGACAGGGTTCAAAAGGGGCAGAAGGTCAGACCTGGATTTATAGGTCTGGAATGAATCTGAATTTCCAGATGAAATGTAGACATGTAATGACAGAGGAAGAACCTGTTTGTTCATATAGTCAACATCCAAATACCTTCCTATTTTGGAAGAACCCTTACCTGCATGGATTTTGGTGGGTACATGGCCCCACTTCTCACTAAGGGAGCCAAGAAGCCAGTTATTCCCTCCCTCCACCCTCTAGTGACCAGGGTATGAGCATGTATCCAGTCTAGTTCAATTAGATGCTTCCACTGAGGGCTCCGGGTGTTGAAGGATGGACTCAAAGATGCAGGAAGGGTTAAGAGATGACTTATGGCAACAGCCACTCTAGCGCCGAGGTGCTCAGGGTAATGACCTACCTAGCCTCCTCTTCGGGTGGGAAATTGACCTCTGCCAAGTCATTTTCCAAGTCTTGCTTTTCATTCCTGCCTCCATCTATGAGCTACTCATCTATTTTTTAATAAATTACCTTTCTGCCTCAGTTTATAAGACTTGGAGAACACCAGAAATAATAAAAAAAAACAGACCCACGACAAATTCTTCTAGATATCGAAGAGAAAGAAATACAAAGATAGGAGACAGAGAAAGCACATTCAAAGAGAAAAGGGTCGAAGGTTGCTTGAGATAAGGCTTCAGGAGCGTACAATAGTATGGAAATTAAGAAAGAGATCACCAAAAAAAGAAGGATGTTCTAGGGTTGGCCGTTTTTCTGTCCTCTCAGATTACATTGATCATATTTCTATTTTTAAGCATTACCACAAATATTATAATTATATCCCCCATTAGAATGCTGGTGACACTAGTGTTAAGAACTGTCACTGCAAAGGGCACTGCTGAGTGCTGTCCACAGCAGGTGCTCTAGAAACATGAGGGAGGCAGCAGGAACAAAGGAAAGATTAAGCTTTGAAAAAGGTAAAATGTGTGGAATGGCAGTTTCCCCTGGGCCTCCTGAGATACAAACTAAGCCAGCCCCTGTGCGGTACTTCCCCCTCCCTAGATAGTCCCAAGGCAGTGCCTGGGTTCCCACCACAACCTCTTCCTATGGGGGAATTGTCTTTGCTTGCTCCTTGCAAAGACACTTGTCTCTCTCCTGCCCACCAGACTCTTTGAGACCATATACAGGTTTAAGAAAGACAGCAAGAGCTTTTGACTTCAAGCAACTTCCCGTCCTGCAAAAAATGCTGAAGCTGAGGATTACTAAGCGCTTGATCATGTGCCTAAGGTAGGAAAGAGGAAAGAAATATAACAAAGGTACAAATTAACATCATCTCGAAACATCTCTTTCTCGCCTATTTCCATGACATTAGGAGCACCACTGAGAATCAAGGGGCATCTTCATCTGTGTCACTCCCCAACCTCAGCATCTAGCATTATGCTGTGCACACAGAATGTGCTTAACACACGTAACAGAAAAATGCATTCAAACAGAAGGAAAGAAATTAGTGGAGAGAGGAGGTAACAGTGTACACAGGTAGGTGGAACTTTCTGGAGAAAGTAGGAAGACTGGATTAATTACACAGTGGGAGAGATTATATCTAGAAATACACGGCCCCTTTCAGACGGCAGGAAAAGGCCAGAGGTGGAAGAAGAGCCGCCCCTCTCTGGTGAGAACAGGCCATACAGCAGAAGAGGGCACAGTCAGAACTCCCAGTCTCGGCCCTGTAGAGTGTGCATGTTTATTGAAGTTAACTGTTCTTGTTCTACCATGGTGCACTAGATACGTGGGCAGCAGATAACTTGTTTTCTTAGCACTTAGACCTCTAGACTGAGAGGAGCCAGGTCCTCACCTGATACAGTGACTACTGTACCGCACCCAGTGATCCCAGGATTGGTGCCCGTGCACTGATCAAACAGAATTCTCAAGCTGTCTCTGGCAATTGGGAAGAAGGGAGCGTGTAGGTATTTGGTGACCAGAAGAGCAGGCTGAGGCAGAGACAGCAATGCTCCCCCAGACATCCCATTTTCCCACACAATTTCCCAGCGCCCTTGCAGTTAAGTCAGGGCCATATGACTACATTAGGGTAACAGAATACGAGCAGAAAGGATGGGCTCAATTCCAAGCTGCGGCAGTTAAAAGGCCTCCATTTCTCCTGCTGGCA